ATTTAATAAGGCATTATTGATTTACATTGTGAAGCTTTATTCAAGTTTAGCAAGCCTATGAAGCTCTTTTTACAATATGACATTCTTTACACTGCAGGAAATAAAAGGCAGGGGAAAGTTTTTTTTTTTTTTTAAACCTCTGAGAAATGTATTGTCGAACACAAATATATAACAAGCACACTGCATGGCTCCAATCTTCAAATATGTATTGCACCTAGGTCAGTTTCTGGCACAACTGCTGTTCATAGTAAACATTTCTCCACGAATAGCAAAAAGTGTTCCTCCTCTGATGATTCATAATGAGAGTCTTAAAGACGTTACATCACACAAATATGTTGGAGTTCATGTTAAATAATCTCTGCCTTGACATCTATACTCACAGCATATCAGGATTCAGTTGCTAAATAATCAAGTATCATCATTCCTTAATATTAACAATATATATTCTAGAGTTCATTATTAAATAAATATCATGATAGCAAGCAATGATATGATACATTACCAATATGTCTACAACTATGTACACTGGTCTCTTTAAAGCCTCTGAAAGATCAGCCCAGAAGGGAACAAATATCTTTAAGGTTGTCTAATCCAAATCCCTGGTCCAGGAGAGCTAGTGGTATTACTGCTGGTAGTAGGATATAGACAAGGTAGTATACAGCTGAGTTTGATTGTTTTGATGTGTCTGTAGATTTAAAAAGGGAAACTACCTGTATACCAGCTACAGGTAATAACATGTTCTTACCTCTACAGTAAATCTTATTTTATTTCTATCAAGCTTGGGTGGTTTGATTGCCACCATAAAGTTAGGTAGCACCAATTTTCTAGCTTGTAATTATCTTCACTTAGAGTATTTAAGTATGTTTTGTTCTTACAAAGGAGAAGGAAATGGTAAATGTAATTCTTATGGCAATCATGAAGTTATTTGGGTCACTACGGCATTTCCAACTTGGAAAGTGGAAAACACTTAACCATCCCTGTGTGTGTGTGTGTGTGTGTGTGTGTGTGTGTGTGTGTGTGTGTGTGTGTGTGTGTGTGTGTGTGTGTGTGTGTGTGTGTGTGTGTGTGTGTGTGTGTGTGTGTGTGTGTGTGTGTGTGTGTGTGTGTGTGTGTGTGTGTGTGTGTGTGTGTGTGTGTGTGTGTGTGTGTGTGTGTGTGTGTGTGTGTGTTTATCAGTGTTGAGGATCAAAGTCTTCCAGCAGACTGTCGGTCAGGTATCCAATCTTCAGCATGTTTTGGTAGAAGTCTTTCTCCACAGCGGTGTTGACCGTCCAGCCCACCACCTCCACACCTCGCTCTGCCCAGTACTGAACGTAGTCCCTAAGAGAAAGAAGAAAGAGGAAAGAAAATACAGATCAGTAAATACAAGGAACATTCCATAACCAGTAAAAAAAAGTTGCATGTACTTAAGTGATCCTTTACACAAGGCAATGTCCTCTTATGACTTGGGATGACTTGATCATATCAACACCCAGTTTTTAATCAAACTCTTATCACATCAGCAAAATCTTAAATCTCAATTTGAATCTTTTTATGTTGACATTTTATTATTTGCAAGTGACTAAAGGCTACAAGATGTTAATCACCTTTTGTTGGCAGAGAAGACTTTAATCATCTTGTGACCCATCAGAATGATGTTGGGAGCCCTTGCTGTGGTGGCTATTATAGTTTTAGCAGTGTTTTATATGTTGCTGTTTTGATTTATAATTTCCTATATGCCTCGGCGGACACACAGCCAATGATTATGTCTGATTTTCTAACAAAGCATCGATGCAAAATCAACCAGTGTTCATTTATAGACAGGAACATAATGCTTAGTGAGGCCCAACTAGACTATTTTAAGATCATATGCAAACAAAAAAGATTCTTCTTAACATTCTGTAAGACTATCTTAAACCCCATGACTTGCTTTGTGACTGTGCCTTGTAACTATACAATTAAATAACATTTGACCTACAGTGAGATGTAGTCCTTCTGCATGAGGATGGCAGAGACACCGCAGAGTTTCCACAGTATGTGGTGGTGGGCCCAGTCCAACAAGATGTCCAGAACCCCCGTCCACACCTGACCCGAGATGGACAGGGACCGGGGGGCGCCGTCGGTAAAGCGGCTCAGTCTCCAAGGGCGGTGGATGAGAGCTGTGACCACGTTGGGGTCCGTCTGACGCATCTATGGGTAAAAAAAGTGTAAAAGTCAACACAATACATTAAAAATTAGGAGGAGGGTGTGGCTCTTTTGGTACTTTTGGTCCTGGTACTTTTATTAAAATATGTGTGATGGTTCAGTTTAAAGCAGCAACAAACCAGAAAGCCATCTTTAGTGCCATTAATAGAAAATAAAATACGAGTAATAATGTTAAGAAATAAATTCAGTAAAAGAAAATGAGAAAAAAGGACAAAATAATTATTCAAATACCTCAGACAAATCAATAATCATTAAAACAGCTTTCTAAAGTCAATTTTAATTATTTGTGTTGATTACTTAAATATGTGTTACCTTGTAGATTACTTTTGGTTCAAAGGAAGAAACAATGCTGCTATTGTAAAGGACAGGAAACTTCTTATACATCTCATGAAGCACTGAAGCAGCCTGGAAAACAGGAAAACATATCACATTTCTACACAAGCAGGAAAAAAACTATCAATATAACTGTATTCATAATAAGTTGGTTCAGTTAAAGATAACTGAAATGAGGGCCTCTTATAAGGATCAGCACGAAGGTAAATTAAAAGCAATCTGATTGGCCCTCTTTGCTGATTTAGGTTTAGAGTCAGCTATCGAGTAGGTCTATAAGCTATTATGAGCCGCTCTATTGGTATAAATATATATATCCATATACTTAAGTCTTATATAATATTCACTACCTTATCAGGTTGACCTTTGACATTGAAGAAGATGGTGAGCTGTTCTCTGATGGATTCCTCCACTGCCTCCTGCAGAGTTGGGACCTTCTCTCCACTGTATTTGTCTCTGGAGAGGAAAGAAATCATGACAGGTTCTTAATGCAAAAGTTATTTTGCCCCATTTTTTAGTCTTTACATTTTATGAGGAAAGACACTTTCTGAGAGGCAATAGATCACTCATATAAAAACTATATTTCTGCAACTCAAACTTTATAGTATGAATGTAATACATAAAGTATGTAATCCCTGTTTAACATGTAGTCCTTCTTTATCTAAGATTTAAATCACACCATTAAAAAATGATATAATGCAGCATACCTCAGCCTGTGACGAGCAGCAGCATCTAGTCTCTTAAGCTGGGCCAGCTGCAGTTTGCTAACTGGTCCAGAGCCGTTGGTGGTGCGGTCCACCGTCTCATCGTGCATCAGGACGGGCACCCCCTCTGCCGTGAAGCTCAGGTCCAGCTCCACGCCCGTGGCCCCGTTCCTACTGGCCTAAAGCAGGACATCACAGGTGGAAAATTACACAAAAAGACAGCTTTGATACTGTAAATTATTTTAGTTTAAGTGCTTATTTTCTAAATGAATATTTTTGTGAAAATTCAGCAGTTTTTCATTGAAGACTTAATTATTTTGAAAGCTTTCATCTGCATGACTCCAAATAAATGCTCTGAATCGTAGCTTTTGTAAAGATTTAGACTCTTCGATAAAGCAGTAGGCTACAATACTCACTATTTATTGGGTCACAAGACATGAAAGCTATATATATTTAGCCATGCCTGTCACTTTAATGACAGGAGTCAGCAGGTATTGAAAATAACATTGGTTTTGTGTCATTCAAAAGGTGATTTACTGAGTATCTCTAAGTGATGCCCTGTAATTAAGAGTGAGGGTTCGGATATGAGGTAACCATCCTCTGCCTATAGCCTATAGACAATATCACATATCAAACTTCACTGCGGTGCATGCAGGACAGTAAAGAGCACAACAAGCAAGCCGACTCAGCAACTTCAGTATGTAACAAACAGGGAGAAATAATTGTGTGTAGAAATAAAAAGAGTGTGAGTGAATGGCATTAACAAATGTTCAAGGGTAGGCATCTACTGATCTGATAGAAACTGAACCAGCAGCAGATGTGGTGCTCTGCTTACAATGCTTCAAGGCAACTCACGACATTTAAAGCCTGAGCAGCCCATAAATAAATCGTTCAAATGGAATTGACTATATTATTTTGGGGACTCCTATGCACTTGTAATACTATATTGCTACATCTAATTGGACTAGCTATTATGCAATTGTGTGTTACATATTTGTAGCCATCATTCATCTAGCCTAGTATGCTACTTTTGCTCTTTTAAACATGCATAGATCTATGTTTCCAGCCAAACACATGACAGATGCATGACACCTCTCTGATCGCTGCCAAGGTGTTCTCCGGAGCATCATGGCTGCCCCCGCGGTGCGCCACCACCAAGACCCCGCCTGACGGAGCCCCGGGCCGGAGGACACGGCCGGCCTGGTCCGCCGGCACCGGAGGAAACCGGAACATCACCATGAAGACGTAGAGGAAAGCGGTGAGGAGAGAGGCCCCCGTGGCGCTCCGCGTGCCCAACACCACGAGCAGAAACAACGCCGAGAAATACACCACCTCATCCCCGATCTGCAGCATCTTAAACGGTATTATGTCACGAACCGTACGCTGGAAGACCCGTCGTTTCAAGCCGTTGTTCTGCAGGTAGCACTCACATGGTGCAGGCAAGCAGATCATACAGGCACGCACACGCACACACACGCACGCGCACAGACATACACATTTCACTTATTGATGGTGCAGAGGATGTATGGGACATGGGAGGAAGGAGGAGAGGTAGTGACAAGTCTATCTGAAGTTTGAAAAATAAAATATAGATACAAACATATTTAGGTCAAGCATTCCAAATAAAAATGGAACTAGCCCATTGCCATGTGATGCAACCAATAAAGGTGAAGTGACTTTACGAGAACTATGTAAAAATACTGGTTTTCACAATGTCTACAGGACCTAAAACCATTATTATTTTTATATAGTTTTAAAAGATATTGACATACTATTTAAGAATATAATTTCATTTATTTATTTTAAAGACAACAATCACAACTTGCTGAGAGTTTGGGTGCAGGAAGGCACAAAGAAGACTCATCAGTACATTAATAAAACATTTAAACACACTGGGGTTGTCTTCCTTAAAACTGTACATAGGAACAGACTCAAGAAGAAGAATGAAAGCAAAACAACTCTTCTTTAACAAATTGAGAAGGAGACATTCTGAATTAAAAGACAAACCAGAGATCACCTACTCACCCCATGAGGAATGATACATTTAAGGCCAATACACATTAGTAAATGTTAAGGGTAACAAGTCCTTAAGAAAAAAAATGCACCATCATATTATTTCCAGCATGTTGTTATAGGTTCATAAATGGTTCAAAATGTGAGGAGAGAACATTTTTTGAAGTAAGGCACATTAATCTGCTCCTGCCCCTGCTGGCAGAGAGCTGATGTGCTGAAGCAGCTGGTCGCAGTAGAGAGGACTCCGCTGCTTGTCTCTCACCGCCTCCGCCTCCCTTTGCAGAAGTGACGGATGGACTGAGCTACCTTTCTTCAGGATCTCTGGACAAACAAACGGATACAAAACCAAACACAAAAAGGACAGGAGTTAAAATTGTACACAAACAAAGGAATACTCATTATTCTGTAACATGATCTTCAATTGAAAATCCTTTAAGCCTAATTCTTCATGGGAGAGTTAGTTTACAACCAACGATGGGGATATCCGGTGAATGAAAGGGTTTGATGGTCATATCCTGACTCCATGTCCTGTTTTTACTTCTTCCATGTTGGTATTGACCATCAATGAGGTACATTTATCTCCTTAAAACAGGGGCGGAAGAGTTTATATAACATTTGAATGCACTTATTCACATTCAGGCACAATAAAATCATGTTTACTTTGAATGTTAAATTCAGTTTTTTCGTTTTAACCTGGTACAAGTAAATGTCTTAACTTGATATTATTAGTAAAAAAAAAGGTGTCAGTACACCAGCAGATGGCAGTAATGAACTACAGTACACCAGTCACACAATGCAGATGCACTTTCCTTCCACTTGAAGGCAATAATCATCTGTTCAAAAATGTTCCTCCCGCTGTTCCCACACCTTCTGCTGATTTTCTCGAGTATATTGAATTACGTGAACGCTGTCAAGGGGTAAATGCTTCCGAAACCACAATGCAGAAGTGCTGTCTCAGTGGTGACATGCCGCCACTCAGGATGACTTAGCTCATGTAAACTCATCATCTGATACCCGCCTCTGTTCTTCAAGGCGATGGAGGGGATTTTAGCTTTTGTGTATACTGTACTCAGAGGGGATAGAGGTGGGGTGGCGGGACTTTGACTACGAGGAGAACAATGAGGACTTGTGAGAAGTGAGTTATACCCATGCCAACTGTGTCTGTGTGACTGAGCAGGTAGCAGCCGGGCTGCCAGGATGGTGGGATTATCAGGGTGGAGAGTGAGAAAAGGAGGGAGGAGATGTAGGGAGGCGGCAGGGCAGTCTGTCTTACTGTCAGGACATGCTGCACACATCAAGCCACTTTACAGATATGCGTTTGAAATTCAAGAAGCATTAGAATAGGATCAACTATTAAGAGGAACAAAGAGACAGAGAGGAATAAAGAGGGGGGGAGGAACAAAAAAAATCTTCAAACGGAGCCATGCATGAGAGTGAGGAATGCTTCCATATTTGCGGCACAGGCGGTTACGGGTGCTGTCAGATACACACGATCACTCAGCAAGATGTGAGGTCATCTTATTTCACAAAGAGACTCTGAGCTGTCTGCAGATCTACTGTAGCCGGTACAATGGCTCAGATATCTTTTCACTGTTAGGGCCTGATGTGCTGCAACACTTTCAGAGGCTGCTGAAGTATTCTGCCCAGAGTGTTTTTTTTAAAAGAAATCCTGAAAAAGCACCTGAACATTACGGAAAATCACTCAACTACGGTACAAGAAATACACAGCCTTTGTATGTGGGCGAAGGCGTCTCATAAAGTTGATCTACATGTGTTATTCTGCCAACAGTAGTCAAAGTGACCGTCATTTTGATAACCAATGGCTACAAAAAAGATTCCTTAAAATGCTTTCAAAGCTGTTTTGCGGGGCCAGAGTTCGTAGCTGCAGCTGGTAAATGTGTGTGAATGATTTCTCCTCACTTTTTTTTCTTTCTTTCCCTCTATCACTAGCCATATGAAGATGAGAGATCCTGTAGAGAGGCCTCTTTGGACTGGCTAAGGCATCAGTGTCACCTGCACTCTGTCAGAAGTAATGACAGCTAACATCCATGAGCGAGGGAGAGAGTGGAAGTCCAGAGGAGCTGAGCACCGGTTACACACTTCAGAAAAAGCCAATAAGACTTTCCATTGATACCTCAATAAAAACACAGCTACGGGTCTGTCTGAAAACACTGGGAATGAGATCAACAAGTTAGAAGTATGGATAAAAGACAAAGGGATTGAGCAGGATGGGCGTGAGGAAAGATTTGGAAAGGCGGCGAGGGGAAGGGGGATCCCCATGTGGTTTCCATTAGGTGGGACTGTTCGGTGTTTAAAGGAGACTCAACACACAAACATCTGAGTCTACACCAGGTGAACTGGCAAAGGTGTTTATAATATATCAGAGCTCACATATTAACCTGTGAAGTGTCTCCCTTATATACTTTATATAAGAAGTCGACATGATGTCACCTATAGGTTTGTATACTACTGTTTTGAAGTCTTAAGTTTGACCTTCTTGACTTGAAACTGGATATTGAGACCATAAACCTACAGAAAATATTTTCACGGAGGTAATAAATCAGCCGAGAAGTAGGGTCATTTTCTCAAACTTGGACTTCTTCATACGGGAGTTGCCATGTTAGCTATTTGAAAAAATGCAGATTGAAGGCACTTGTGCTTTGTTTTTTCTCTTTTCAGACCTGTAGGTGATGTCCAATCCGTGTATACACTCTATGGTGGGTGCTAATCCAAATCTGGATCTTGTGTTTCACGTTTGAGGCCAACCTCCTGCTTAGCTTGTAAGGGCTTGCTTTGGAAAGAAGAATAGCTGAAGCTGCTTTGGTGATAAATGGTGTAGAAAACAAGGATAACAGTGCGCTTTTGAAATAAAGTACAGGGGGGGATCTGCTGGCAGCGTGCCAGGCAATATTCTAGTGTTTGATAGAGGATACCCCTTATTCCTCTCATCATCTGTGAGCCTCTTGGAAACAGCAGGCTGGTCTGCAGATCATCATGGCTAAACTCTGCTTTCATGGTGACCTCACCTTCCAAATGATTACTGTCTGTACTTCCAGCAACGCTTATCAGATGATCACGGTCATGAGGTCCGTACCGTATCACATAATCGTTTCAAGTCATTTACAGTATATTCACATGAGTATGTTATCTTGACAATCTCTCCTTATTCTTATCAGCATTGGTATCAATGATTGTCAACAGTGCATTAAAGGACAAAAGAAAAAGAGTTGGCTTTCTTTGTCAAGAGTAATGGTTGTCATCAACATGTTCGAAATCATAAAGAGTAGAAGGAGAATCTGTGGTACTCCCACAGAGAGGAAATATGGAAAAAGGAACGCTTGTGTCCACTTTTGAAAAGACCCACACTCTTATCTCTCATGTGTATAATCTTCTGTTAGGCTACCATCATGCCCAACACTCCACCCTCATATCTGAGGTTGCAGGATTAAAACACCCCTTCCAGTCTCACCGAGCACTTGGCCCTGCACCGAGTCGTCCGGGTCATCGAGGTACAGGAGGAGCTGCTGGAAGAGGAGCTGCAGATGAGCAGCATAGAGCTCGGGGGGGTAGTCTTTGGTCAGGCTGGAGAGCCACAGCCCGAGGGCCTGCAGGGCCACGCTGCGCACCTCCTCACTGCTGTCGTCCAGACGCTTCAGCAGCACTGTGGGAAAACACCACCACACGACAAAACGTCTCAAAAACGTTCGTCTATTAAAGGTCCCCTATTATACTGTTTATCATCAATATATTATAGGTCTCAGATATATACAAAACATGTCTCTGAAGTGTTTGGCTCGAAATACCAAACAGATCATGCATTGTAGCATCCCATAAACCCCTCTGTTTCAGCCCTGTTTCAAATAAGGAGCCACTCCCAACACAGCGGGGACACATGTTTATGTATAAAAGACATGAAAAAGTGGATTTTGCATAATAGGCAACCTGTAAGTGGGTAAATTGCTTTAGTTCTATCCTCATTATAATCATTGTTATAATATTATACATATGTACATTAATTGTGATGTAATCTACAGCATTTTTTGCAAAGTGTAGATGTCAGTGTTAAGTGTGGTGCATCTATTTCTGTTTATTAGTTCTGCACCCACCGGGGTAGATCTTGTTGAGGGCCTCAGGGTGCAGACTGGCTCCTATAAGTCGGAGTATGATGGACAGGGAGCGACAGGCCAGCAGCCGGGCCATCTGAGAGTCCTCCTCCAGGGCCGACAACACCTGGGGACTCACCTTCTCCTCCAGACACAGCAGCTGCACACAGGAAAGGCACAGACCAGCATACAGATCAATAATGGCAAGCTCAAAGTACAAATAATACAATTATATATGTGAATGCAATTAATTCAACAGTTAAAAAAAGGTGTTTTTGTGCAAAGTTTGTTATTGTAATTGTGAAGATTTCCCTAATGGTAAATGGAAACTGACTGGAGTGATTGCTTTGAGACATTTCGGTCAGGACTACTTCCTTTGAGTTCCAAAACCCTCTCAAATGTTTCTTCTTTCCAGTTCTTTGCACCCCTCAATTGTCAACAATGAGAAGTAGCAAAGACAAGGCTAGTTAGTGAAAGCAAAAAAACATCCTTCGGAAAGATTAACAGTTTCCACACACTTATTTTATTATTCCTTTTGGGATTTGTGGGAATTTTGGTTCCAAAGTGAAATATCACTCAAAGCATGACAGATTCCCATCAGCTCTGGATCAGTTTATAAAGACACACGGGCATGGAGCCCATCATCAGATGTAGAGTGCAGACCGATGTTTTCATCACACCAACAGATGAGAAGCAGAGGAAATGGACAAACAAGGTGAAATGACTGCTAGCTAATGGCAAAACCCTCTGTCATCCAACCTGTTTGCTATCGAAACCACGCAAAACAGTAAAAAAGGGATTGAGGGGAGAGGGAAAGAATGAGACAGAAAGAGGAGGAACATTTGGCAGAGGAGTTATCCGGCATTACATCAGTGATGAGGGTGCCAAGTGTAACTGGAGCTACTAATTGTTATCACAGGGAGTAGTGAGGAAACACTGTCCTTCTAAATGAAAAAGCTGTTTGATTTCCTGTGGAAATACACACATATAATCTCTGATGGTTATGTCACCTCTGCTTTAACCACATTTTGAACCCCAACTCGGAGAGGAACACAGCCCTGTCGCCCCTTTTCCAGATGTTCTATTCTTATGAAGACGTTTGGGTGCCATTAGATGGTCAAAATGTGATCACACACCTGCTCATATTGTCCCCCAGCTGTTTGCTTAACCTTGTAGTTAAAACCGTGTGAAAAGAAGCGGAGTGTGAGCCGATGATAACTGGTCATTCAGCCAGATGTGCGTGTGCTAGCTCACATACTGGAACTGGGCACATGCTCCGGCAGGCAGGTGCAAGAGCATATCTCGGTGATAGTTTCTACGAACAACCGGAGCCCAGAACAGTGGAAGCATTGTTCCTGGGGGACAAAGGTATGTGAACCTGCTTGCCCCCGCGTACACCTGCTACCTGCCGTGGCCAACTCCTTCAGCCAAGGGGAGAAAGATGGCTGACGATATACTTTCCGAAATGGCCAAGTGGGACCATCTATTTTCATGTGAAATGGACAAAACAGAGAATTTGAAGTAAATGTCAACTCCCTGTGGGTTAAAAGAATGCCTTTACAGCTGGGTCAATGAAAGTGTTTCTGCAGATTGGAGATCAGTAGTGCGTTTTTCTGGAGACCTTTCATATCCTGTGTTAGCTTTCAATGCTCATGGGTCCCTATGCAGTGCACAGGTGGAAACAAATGTAACCCCTGTGTGTCATGTTTATATTTGCGCACGTCCTCTGTGTGTGTGTGTGTGTACCTGTCCAGGTGTGATGGCCCCTCCATGCAGCAGGGCCAGCAGACAGCTTAGGGCAGAGGTGCGGACGGCAGCTGCAGAACGGCCTGCCCGCCACACCAGGTTAGGAAGCAAGACGTCACACAGGAACTTCTCTGACTCGTCACGGAAATGCCTGGAAAGAGGGCAGAGAGTTAAGTATGGAGACAGCACATCGCAGAGGAAGACGTTTCAATTTCTGTGTGTATTTCATATGGAGGTACAGTACATTAGTATTTCTATATTTTTTAACAGCTAGCAAACAAGGCTGCCCATTTTGAGGACACGCCAACGATAATAGCTGTTGGGAATGCTACTACAACAAAAAGGGCTATACCAAGCTCATGTTCCCACACTTGATGTACAGCAGAAGGATGAGGGGGGGGGGGGGGCCTGGAGGAGAAGCAGGAGGCGAGGAGTGCAACATCTGGGTGTCTGCCTTTCCCTTCTCTCTGTTTTCCATGCTGGCTTAGGCCCTCTGACATTCTCTCACACACTAGCAGACTGGCCTTTTGCTCCAAACCAACTCTTGTAGATGCCTCTCGCCTCTGGCTGTTCAGCTGGTGTCACAACTAACTTCTCATGACATTGAATCAAATGTGCTGTATTGCTTCAGTGCCAGTAGGGGGAGACTGCGTGCCACTAACACATCCAGGACCATGTACTGCTAGCTCAGTTTTTTCATTTTGACAGGTGATGAAAGCTCATCATGAAGGAGGCCAGGAGATAGAAAGAAATGTTTTCCACAAAGCAGGGATGATGTGCAAAGGAAAAAAAGAGTGCGACTTGACCTTTCACTTGTATGTCTATGCATACACGCAGTTTAATACGTTTAACACAATATTTCATTTAGTAACATTTGTTAGGCAACACTGGAATGCAGTTAATCAGCTTGATTATTGAATTGATGATTATCCACACATTAGCATTATAGTTATTTTATTAGCATTGTGATTATATTTTATACTACAGGGTCTAGCCTTTAAGGCCTTATAAAAGAATAGTGGTAATCTCATTTGATTTAAGTTATAAATAATTCACAGAACTAGCAGTTTTCTTGTGTTATGTCTTGAAAGCTGAAATGAAGACGGGTGCCTGATGCAGTTCACACGTGCATGAAAGCACACGCTCCATAATCTTTGCCCACCACATCTTAGGGAAAGAGGATGAACTGTCATTTCTTACACCTTCTACTTACATTTCACATTCAGCTTTTTAATCACAGCACACAAATCCACATAAAACAAAGACATTATGTGTGTGTGTGTGTTAATGTGTGGATGAAAGGCACACACTTTCCCTTTCTGCTTGTTATATATTGGAGCTGTCATTATGACATTTTGGTTGGAGAACAAAGAGAAGAGGTTTTCTCTATAACTATCATTGTCGTCTTGATGACATATAGCGTGTGTGTGTGTGTGGGATCCAATCTGCCGAGCAAGGATCGGGCCATAAATCATGAATGGAGGGATAAGAGGAGTATGAATGGAAATATTATGGCAGACCGCACAGCCCCACATACTGTACGTTAAGCATTTGTTTGAAACCTTTTGAAGGTGTAACATGATTTCTGTCTGCTGATGGTCCTGTGATCACTGGAGATATAGCTGAGGAACGAGAGAAGCAGTTAGCAGCACAGGTGGCCGCACTGAGAGTGGGGAAGAGACAGAGGCTCCTTTTGTCTAACGTGCACATTTATGGATAAAATAACCTGATGAAAGCTGAACAAAGTTCCAATTTCCACGTTTTTGGCAAAGGTGGCAAAATGTTTTGTTTATGCAACATTTTTCGCTGACAGGTTATTATTTTGTCTATTCTTTACACTGCCGCCAGACTCATGCCAAAAATATATCCCTTACATTCACCGTTGGAAACACCTACGAGTCCTTATGGACCCCTTGGCTGAAGGCTAAGCGTTAGTTACACACTGCACAGATGTCTCCATGGAAACAAAATGGACTTATGGTTTATCTTTCTGATGGACAGCAGCAGCTGGAGAGGGCCTCAGGCTTAATGCATTCCCTCAGATTAGAGTTCTGAGTCCAGCCTGAAAGCTGCACAGCTGAGGGATCGAAGGACCCTGAACGGTGAGGGGGGGGCGCAGTCAGAAAGACCCCAAAGATGGGAGCTCCTCTCTGGGTGTCAGACTTCACGCCTATCCTTCGTCATTAATTAGCCAATAAACATTTAAAAGGTGTTACCAAGGTACTGTTTACAAGGTGGATAGATCTGCGGACGGAACGCTCTGGGGGGCCAAACGGCTCAGTGTGTACGCCCTATACGATCATTTCCTGATAACGATGAAGCCATAGCCCCACCTCTGCTGCTCACTGCTGTAGCATGGTCAGTAGCAGTAGTAGTAGCTATAGCTACTGCTACTGACCATGCTACAGATGTTAGTGCAACATCTACAGCTCCTCTACCACAACTCCTCTACCACAACCATCAGCAACAAGTGGACATGGAGAATTACATGAGCTACATCCACCGCGGGGCATAAACAGAAGGGCAACCATGGCAACCATGCTCGGGGGTCTTCTTCTCTGCTTTTGGTGTATTTTGTGGCAGAAGTACAGCGCCACTTACAGGCCCAGCATATGTACTACAGCGTCTCCAGCGCTTTCGAGCGGTCTCGTGTGAACGGAAGACTTTTTTGATATCGTATTCGGTTCGTTTTGCGTGTAAATGGGGTCTAAATCACCAAGGAACAATTCAGACATAAATTGCCTTTGCTCTAATTCAGGTATACTGGAAAGTGAATACATCATTTGAGTTAATTGAACTGATACTCCCAGATGAACCATGTTAACTCAAATGGGACTTCATACATTTAGTGAGTTCATCTATCATATGACCCTGAATCAACCACAAGTCCTAAAGGAGGTGATAGAGTAACAATGACCTCAGGCAAATCACACTATTGTGGTTTTTGTATGCCTTTTTCTGATGATGGTTACTTGTGGCTGAGGTGCTAACTTGCAGGTTAATGTGAGGTCAGTTCTAAAAATATGACTTGTGCTTATAACGATGACTTGGAAAACTGGAGACTAGTAAAACCCAAACAAATTAAGCCCAATGTGACCTCAAGTGATGACTAAGCCCCTTTCACACCAACGCAACTCCGGTTCAAGCTCCGTGCTAGAGCTTTTCTGGTTCAGAACCGGTTCTTCGGTTTAGCGCCGGCTCTTTTCACACCGCCCAGAGTCCGACTGGTGCTGCCGCTGCTGCGTCATGACGTCACAGTTTACGTCGCTGAGTTTCTCCCCAACGCCGGAGCTCACCTCACAACAACGGGCCGGGGACTGCGTTGCTTTTAATCATACGAAGCCAGATTAAATTAAATAACGACTTCTCCAACCTTATACTTTCTCCAGAGTGCCGTGGTTCATTGTTTATTAATGTGTTTCAGCGGCATTTACCGACCGCTGCAGTGCTGGCCGGCTGCTCTTCAACGGGAGTGTATTCTCCCGTTAGCTCCGGGTTAGCTCACACGGCTCTAAAGTATTCACTGTCTGACTGTCACACAAGCAGCTGATACATATCCCCAGTTCCCCTTAAGTGAATGTGTGTCAGTCTGAATTGACGCTGTTTGGTGTCAGTCTGAATTGACGCTGTTTGGCATCACAACGCTGTTATGAAAGTTTCTCTGGTATAACATGGGTGATGTTAGCATAGCAACCGAAGCTAAACTGACTACTTGCTAAGCAGTTTTCTACAGGCACTTTTTACCGACGTATTTTTCATTATGATTCTACTTGTGATAGTCGGACATGACAACCTGTGCAGCCCATGTATTGATTCCATCCGATAGCTGCTATAATAACAAACAAAACGTCTGCCTGCTCTCCACAATGATCAATAACAGCGAACGGATGGTCAAAGTAAACAGAATCACACGAAGCCTGGTTAGTGTTGCCTGACTTTATAAAGTGTGTTTTTTTTAACAAGTGTGTGGTTGCGTTCTAGTCACTTTGCTCAGCACTACTGCTTGTTACAACTTGTATTTGCCGTACTCGCCTTAAGTGTTAGCTCAGGTTAATCTCGCCCCCCTCCGACGTAAGCGTGACGTATGCGGTTCTTGCTTCTAGACGGACAACTTTTTGGTGCTCGAAACGAACCGGATTCCGGAGCTATGACGCTGCTCCGCTGCGGTGTGAACAGGAAAACCCGGTGCTTTTCAAGCACCAGCACCGAACCGGCCCTGAAACACCGTTGGTGTGAAAGGGGTATAACTAGGACAATTCAGCTGCTGTGTGTGTGACTTTGTTCAAGATAATTTGCTCTGTGTGTATGTGCACCACTCACCCCTGGGAATCCAGTGTGTTAGTTGCATCTAGTAGCAACTTAGCAAGCATTGTGAAGATGGTCATCCTCATCTCTATGTCTCTGTCTGGTTGAAGGCAGCAGCACAGCAGAGGCATCAACTGGCTCACAAACTCCCCAATCACTGGACCTATAAACAGACAAACAGTTGTGTATTACTACTATGGCAAAAGATTGTTTTGGCATTGTTTGCCATTATTGTAAAGTTTACAGTATAGAAACAGAATTAAAATATGGAACCATTGAGTCACTGAAACCCCAACTCTAGCAGTGTTTGGACCTTCTTTGTTTAGACAGAATTCATACAGTAACTCCTTATTTCAGGATAACCATTTCATTCTTATTACACACTAAATATGTTCCTTTCCTGAGCAAAGACTCTATATTTTATGCCTTTCCTTAATTCTTCGTCATCCAGACCAACTATCTATTGCTAAACAATAAAGAGTAGAGACAAAAGACTGTTTATATGTTTATCACAGACCAGAGGGTTTCAGTTATTGAGAGATGGATGAGGAGACAGTGACACAGAGCTCTGAGGAAATGACACATAAAAAGGCCTTTGTGTGATAGAGTGTTTCTATACAAGTGTATTTTACAGGAAAAGTCTGAAACTCACTATGAAAGTATTCCCAGCTACACTCACGCCCACACACACACACCCTCCAACAGTCTGACTGCATGTTTACAGAGCTATATATAGTCATCTGTGTTTGTGTAAAGACTGATTAGAGCCAATGCTCTTTTCAGACTATCAATTGTTCAGATGTGAGAGGAGACAGAGGAAATCCTGAGACTGCCCGAGGGTGGAGACCAATGGCACGAACAGATATTGGAAAAAGAGAGAGAATGTGGGAATCAAAGGGTGTGTCATTCAACCATGGGTGATAAAGGTAACGTCTGCTAGTCGCCACAATAAGGATATGACAAGCCAGTGATAGGAAATAAACTAAACTAATACACACACGCATACAATCACTCCTAATTATGCCTTACCCAGAACATCAACATATATCCTGTCCTTGAGCAAGGCACTAAAATCTACAGACACAATGAATCAATCATTCTCACACCAGCTGAAGGACTGTGAGGAGGATATGAGAGAGCGATAATAATTATTGTCTCCAACAAGCGCAGATGGAGTCTGTAAGGAGCTGATGAGCAAGCAAAATGAACAATTCTTCTCAGTTATCACATTGACTACCGCCAATTGTTCAGCAGGGGTTTGATTTCCCTGAATCATGTGCACATAAAACAAAGGAGCCAAACACTTTCTGTTCAGCTGATGACATAAAGTGCTAGGGTCCTGTTAAGGGACCAAAGATCATATCTGTAGGAACGAAACCTAGGGAAGCACACACACACACACACACACAACTTCAAAGTAGCCTTGATCTAGGGGAAGGTCAAGAGCAGGCGGCTGTGGTGCCGTTTGATGTGGTGACCTGCATAGGGATCACTGAGTGGACTTAGAATGGACTGGTCAGTTAGCCATGGGAGTGTGTGTGTGTGTTAGAGGGGTAACCAGCTGCATAGTCATTTAGAAATAGAGGGGAGGGAGAGAGAAAGAGATGGAGATGAAAGTGTGGCACAGAGAGGTGCTGATGATGGAGGATTATTTTGTATAGACAGAGGTAACGGGAAGTCTCAGCACCAAAGAAAGGGTCACAGCTTTTTAATCACACACACACACACACACACACACACACACACACACACACACACACACACACACACACACACACACACACACACACACACACACACACACACACACACACACACACACACACACACACACACAACACACACACACACACACACACACACACACACACACACACAACACACACACACACACACACACACACACACACACACACACACACACACACACACACACACACACACACACACACACACACACACACCACACACACACACACACACACACACACACACACACACACACACACCACACACACACACACACACACACACACACACACACACACACACACACACACACACACACACACACACACACACACACACACACACACACACACACACACACACACACACACACACACACACACACACACACACACACACACACACACTAATGACAGCCCTGCTTGTGGGTTTGTTTGACCATGAGCCTCTCTGCTTGGGTAACAGACATCCATCTTGGACAACAAGAATGAGAAACAATCATTGGGGGTCATAGCAGTAAGGAACTTCCTGATGGTGCAAGTATAAAAAATTAAGCATCCGGAAACACTAATGTAAATAACATCCTGCCTTACAGTGTGTCTAAAGCCTTTCAATAGTGGTTTCTTGTCAAAGTTTATAGATTTGTTTTATCTTCACGATCTACTGTATATTTTCTACTTTTTAATGCCGTTTTAATTCTATTTTGAGATGTTTAAATTCAAGAATTGTTTATTTCTACTCTTTAATTTTCTACTTATGTGCAATGCCTTGTTTTGTTTGTTTTTTTTATGCTGCTGCAACGCACACATTTCCCAATTTGGGATCAAAAAGGTACCTCTTATCTTATCTTATTACAAACTTCTATAAACGATCTGGTTCATACAAGAGAGAACATGTGCTGCTGGTTTTGATCTTGATGATGGATCAGGTGTGAACAGGACGAACAATTTGAGGCTTAAAATATGATGTAATATGAGTCTGAGCAAGTTGAGGAAAGATTGGCTCGACAACTACAACATGAAGTAAGGTTTAAAACAAGATCGAGATTATACAGTCTCAACCAACGTGAGGTTAAATGGATCCAATGATCATGTGCAGAATGATGACTGATGATTTAGTGCCTTTTCCATCATTAACAGGTGATTTGGGAGCCAAACCTTACTGTACATTTCTGACTTGATTGTGTCTCTATACGTGCAGATTTCAGCACCTTCTGTACAATTTGGCAATGTCTTGTGCACATTCAGGCTTCACTTCTCACCTGATTGTATGACTATGATATGCAGTTGGAGTCTCTGCGGGGAGTAACTGGACCAGGTGTTGACAGAGGCCGACAGCCAGTCCAGCAGCTGGCCCATATGTTGTCTATAGAGATCCTTCACTGAGTCCAGACCCTGCACCTTACACAAACACTGCACACTCTCCAACGCCTGTGGGAGAGAGGGATAGGTGAAATTACATTTTTTAACCTGCAACATTACATTTTGTAGAAGTTAATCAAATAAAAGGCGAAGAGACAGAGACGAAGAGTTGATGAGAAAAAGTGATAACAGAGCAGAGGGTATTGTGTTAACAGAGCAGAGGGTATTGTGTTAACAGAGCAGAGGGTATTGTGTTAAAGTTGAACAATTATAGCAGTTTTCTTGTAATTTCAAGAATTCTCACACGGGAAGCACAGACCATGTGAACCCATGGGAAGAACAACACTGCAGACATGACAAGGTCTAACACATAAAACCCCTTAGAAACAAAATACACAGGATGTCACAAAGACACAGGAACCGACAGAAACACACACACACACACACATCAATAAAGCTGAGCTGGGGGGGAAAAGGCAAGAAAGAGAGAAAGCAGAGTAAATAATTGTCTGACTCTTTAGGGCAGGGGAACTGACCCTGTAGGGCTCTTCATAGTTCCCTTCATAGTCCCTCAGGGATGGACAGGGACTGAGACAATGTCTGAGTCACAGATCGGCCCCTTCTGAAGGACGCTAGACAACCCTGAGCTGTCCAGTGATGGGAAATTCTTGCCCTCTTTCTGGGAAAACAAGTTCCGCTTTTCCTCTGAGTCCGGGAATGCCCAAGGCCATTCTCACCCTCCCTCTCTTTTCCTTAATCCATTCCTTCTCATCTCTTGTCTAACACGGCTCCACACAGTGATGTAGAGTGCAGACGGACGTAAACACACACACACGCACTGGTGTGTGGTGTCTGGTAAGCATCTCTGCCAATCCCTTCCCGCTCCTATCCCTGTCATTAGTCTCCTACGGCGACAAGCAGTTAGGCGACATGCTGGCCTCAGATACCGCTGGCTTCACTTATCACTGTTCCTGTCCGTCCCTTTGCATTTAGAGGCTGACCACAACATGAGAGCTTGTTACTTGGAAATCACTTTGCTGTTGTGGCCTGAGGAGGCGTCATGGAGCCACACATGGAACTGTGGGGATGACACACACCTGTTCAAGAGCAACTCACCTTTCCCTGTCTGTACTTTTCCTTTACTTCATTCTTTCTTTTCCCCCCTACCTTGCACCCGCCTCCTTTCACCCAGAACTGAATTTAAAGTTCCACTCCAAAGGTGCAATTTCAGCTCCCCTGGCTAAGTGGGTAATCATACAGTTAGCCATGCCCACTTTGAACCTGTCCAAATGCTGACATTCCTAAAATAGCTCTCTTACTTCATAAAACCTCCTTACCATTCTAATAAAAAAAGGATGGGAAACTTCAATAGAAGGGGAAAGAAGGTAAAAAGAAAAATGCCAAGTCAAGGTAGAACATTTTTGTTGTTGTTTACCCACGTGGAACTAATTGATGGCTAGGCTGCAGAGGGGATGTATCTGCGATTGCATCTTTTGAATGTTGAGCCGTGTTCTCTCACCTTTTCGCTGAGATGTGGCTCTGGACAGAGGCTCTGGACAGTGACCAGCACCTGCAGCAGCTGCAGGCTCACTGCACTGCAGTCTGACTCGCTCTGACACAGCAGTGCATCCACACAGGCCAACAACTGCTCCAAGTACACAACCTGGGAAGGAGAAAGACATATTATTATAATCTGGTTATACACACATGTGAGTGCTCCAAGTATTTGCCTTGAACGTCTGCCATGTCTATCAATAAACCCAATTGCACTTCAGACCTCACAAACTTATTTTATTGCTCCACTTTGTCTTCCACAGAACACCATCACAAGAAGTTAAACAGGCCTAGCCTCTTTTTTTACACAAAAAATAACTGAGTGATCGACAAAATACAATAACTCAGAGTGAGAACTTTCCAGACGTGAGTGTGTGTGAGATTGCTGTCACTTGTCAGCCAGTGTTGTGGTGAGCTCATGTTTAGACAAAGACGAGGGGCGGCGGCTAATTTCAATGCCATTACTGGGATCATGGCCTTTCTTCCTGTTTTCTCACTGCCTGTCATTAGAGCTGGATGCCAGGGGGTGGGCTGGAGGATTGAGGGGGAGATGGAAGGTAAGGTAAGTGTGTGTGAGTTAGAGAGGGTGTGTGTTTTTGTATGTGGAGAGTTAAGAGCCATTAAAGACTCATCCAGGTGTTTACTTTGAGGGGGACTCAAGTGTGTGAGCAACCTCCTCACATGCTCCCTCATTCAAAACACACCACTCACTGAGCTCGACAGATAAATACCAGCGCTCCATCACTGGGGGGCGCACTCTCTTTTCACACATTTGAGTAGCTATTGTACCACACAGCTTGGCGTTAATTTAGAAAGAAAACAGTTGTCAAGCCAGGTAAAGATGCTCAGAGGGTTTTTAAATAAAAAAAGAGAGTTAATGGACTTTCAGTCTGCAAGCCAAATATACAAATGTTTTCATTTTGCAACAGAATGTTGAGCGCACACTGGAAAAAATCTTGCTAGCGTATCTTGAGTCCAGGGTGTAAGCTAAGTGTGTAAACACGTTTTTCCTGAAGCAGTTTGAGGCTAAACTAAACTTTCACGCAGCCCTGAACAACCAAGACTCTCCCAGCTCGCCCACTGCACTGTGCTTTCTTGTTTGAATGTGTTCACACAGTCATTGATGAGCCAAGCCATTAAACATAGTCTGAGTTTCAGGGAGGCAGTAGTGGAAATAACTTGACAAACAGTGGCAGACATAGCCATTAGCGTATACATACGCGGACATGCATATTATACACAGAAAACAACCATTAGGGCTGGCTAAGAGAGAGAGAGAGAGAGAGAGAGAGAGAGGGAGAGCGGAAAAAGTGGTGCAGTGTAATGACTAGGTGGACACCTGGAGCCGGGCGAGATACACCTGGTTTCATTGGCCTGGGCACGCTCCAGGGGCCTCGTTGCACAGAGTGTGTGCATCTGTCCACCACTGGATACATCCATTACACACACACAAGCACGACTCCACTTTAAGAAGCCATACCAGCCGATGGATTCCTATCCAGTGGGGAGCCCACTCCTCACAGCTACTGATGTTGCTATGGCAACAGGAAAACAAACACTGGCGGTGCATGGGATGCCGACCCCTCGCAGTAAGGTAAAGTTTGCTATGCTGCCTTTCTTCTCCTCTCTTCATCTGTCGTTCAGTGGAGCAGGGAGCAGTCCGCAGCTGTCACTCATGACAAAGGGCAGGCATGCAGTAGACACGCTGATGTATGGCCGTATGTACTGTGTGTTTATTCAGCACAATAGTGGTCGCTGTGACACAAGTGCAAACGTTTCTCCATACACAGACAGGATGAAAAGACACAGAGCCTTCTTTTCTCCCCACTCTCCTGCCGTTCTGTCCCTCTAGGCTACTGAAGGCACTTCTTAGTTTCACCAAGACAGCATATTAACTGTTAACAAGCAAGGTTGTAAATGTGCCCGCTAATTCACTGCTAGGTCCCATCTTTATGCCTTTCTTCCTCTCTCTTGGTACCATCTTTACTATTTGACTTCAGCCCTGCAGATATTGTGATGCCCCGGTCACCATGGCTAAACACAACACAGCAACACTCAGGTGTGTGTTTAATGGTGGGGATTTGTTCATTCTCTGTGGAACACCATTTTAAAAGGAAACCTGTTTGCGATTCATAAGCAAACACGGCCATTTATAACCTATAGAGGGTACCTCAGAACACAGGGGCTTTTCTGACCACTGGCTCTCCTTTCATTTTCCCTCAAACCCTTGACATCATCTTCAATTTATGACCAATAATATTATTCATCGAGAATCTGTCATTTATGTTTATAGGCCATTTTTCCCCCTACTGAAAAAAAGAAAAGAAAACAGGGACTTTAAAGAGTCAGCGTGGTTAAGCACTGCATAAGTATCAGTTTGCAAATCTTCATCTTGTTCGCCAAACTCCCCATGGAGCCCCGCCGCTCCTCCTGCCTCTGTTCACTTTGAAGAATATTTATATTTCATTTCTTAACAGGCCTAATTTTGTCCAAGACAAACATTTTTTTCTTCCTTTTCAAGCGTCAAGTGGCAAATAACTCTTTTCCAGTTGGATCCAAACACACATATCTTGCAAGTTTTATAGAACCCTTATTTAAACAAAAAAAGTCAGATGAAATTAAACATGGCTACTATGTCCACTATTCCAATGTCTATGTTTGTAAGTTTGCAGGAAATCAAAACCATCATTAAATAAGTAAACAAGTTCCAAAAGAAATATTTCATGGCTAAGCAACACTTTGTTTTGAGACACTTTGAGGGAAGAGAACTAAATTCAGGGTCAGTATTTGATCACAGAGAGAACGAGGGATGCAGGTGCTCCTGTCTCAGTGGTGTTATTAACAGCTACACAGTGACCTGACCCTGCGCCCTGCTATGAACCCTGCCTGTTGTCGAAGAAAGTTGCAGGTGCTTTGTCTGGGTGAGCTATTGAAACACAACATGCCCTTTCCGTCAAAAACAGAGACAGAGAGAATGGCCGACGGAAATAGATGGAGAAACAGACAGAGAGGAAGCAGAGGTCTGCCTCCATCTGTGTGACAAACTGTCCTGTCCTGTTAGTTCTCCCTCTCTGGGTGACCTCGCTGGATCGCACCGAGGGAGGACACAGGGGGTCAAATTCCCTGCCATTTATCACCAGCCTTGACCAGGAAGGCTTTGAAATTTCAGGGATTCTTTTAATGCCGTGGTTGAACCAGAGTCCGGTGCAGACCTAACACATGGTTATAAAAAACAAAACAAAGGCTATGCGCTGACGGTTGCTCCGAGAGGTCAGAGTAACCATGCGAGGGTCAATAGAAATTGGTGGATTTTTGTTATTATTATCCCAGGGAGGACATTCTTGCAGGCCTCACTGGGAGGGGGGTTGGGGTCATGGTTATAGGTGGGTCAGTAGTGCAGCAGTATCAGAAAATAGCTCAGTTATTTTGACTCTGAAAGGGAAACATATTTTGAGCAAGAGAAAAGGAAGCAGTGCTGCTCCGAACCCCATGAAACTTTTCCACTGGTAGACTATTTTCAGAGAAGCTCAAATGGAATTTGTGATCAGTGCTGCTATGCAAGTTACAAAAATAAAATAAAAGTTATGTGTGGGAGCAGATTTAATATATGCATGTGAAGTAAGTCACTTTGACCAGAGACTTGTAATGTTAGATTTGAAAACCACCATGTGGCCGCACTGTCACTTTATCAAAATCGGCATTTTAGAAAATGACTCAAAAGTGAACCCACTAAACTAACCATGTGTACAGTAGTGCTGTTGAAAAGACTTGTAGGCTCTTTGACTCACACCCTTTCAAGAGATGAGGCATCTTATCATGAAACTTATTTCCATAAGGGACAAATGTCAACATATATATAAAGTATGACTATTGCACGGCCCTGCCATAATATATAAGAGTTTTATGGTCCACAGAGAGTGTATACAATGACCATCTATGACATTGTTAAGATCACATAACAAGACTGGGAAAGAAAACAGCTGAGGTGGTGAATCAAGAAGAAAAACTTGGCAAATCTGTCATCAAAACAAGTCTGATGTATTTCAACAAATTGACCAGCCAGCTGTTTACCCTCCCGCAGTGAAATGCTGACCTGCTGCAACCTCATTCAATTTAATGAGTTAACAACAGTAGAGAGATGTGGTTTTACTGCGTAGGAATGGAGCAGATGGCTTTACTGGCCAAGAGCAGTCATCCTCAGGTAAATAAGGTAAAAACAGATCAGCACAATCTAACCCAACGTCTCCCTGCTGACCTGTTGATATTCCTGGCAGACGTCGGGCTGGGCCAGTTTGTTGGCAATCTCTTGGAGATGTGGTTTAAGGAGGGGTTTGGAGCAGCCTCCCAGCACCGCAGCCAGCACCATGAGGGGGGCCCAGGGGTGAGAGGAAGAGGAGAGGTTTGTCACATGATCCAACAGCAGCTTGAGGAAGACGGCAGGAGGGACAAAGGTCCCCAACAGTTTAGCAGCTGCCAGGCTCTAGATGTTGGTACAGAGAGAGAGAGAGAGGAGAAGAGAAGCAGAGGCATGAATGAGTGGAAAGGAGGACAGGATCCACTTTTTTTAACCTCCCACACATCAAAGCTCTACAGATTCCTCCTATGTAAACAGGTGCATCCCAAGTCCTTGAGCTGTGCTGAAGTTCAACAGACGTGTCCTGAAATGAATCTGCCTGTTTATAAATGAAATTGTTTTATTGGGTCTTGAGCTTTACTAAACCAAACCTGATCCAAAACAGGAAATACAATATGATGTGTGACTAGCTCTCTGGGACTCACATTGCTGACCACGTCCCTCTCCGCGTCGGTGCTGGCGCGGTAGAGGATGGCCAGGAGGGGCTGCAGATGCTGGATGCTGTGGTCCTCGGCGTGGAGCAGCAGCACGGAGAGCAGCTGAGAGGTCCTGACCCGCGTGGGCACCAGCCAGTCCGTTATGTCGTTGCTAATGGCCGGCACCAGCCGACCCAGGTGTCTCACCACCAGCTCTCTGCAGCCAAGCCCTGGACGCTCCACTGGAAGAGAAAAAGTTCATGTTTTCAAAACACATTTATACTCTTCTACTGTTACAGATCAACTTTTGAAGAAAGTCTCTCACTCCAACTACATTCTTCTCAATTAGTGAATGTCTTTGTTTTCCTGAATGACCTTGATTAATCTCCCCGAGATGGGTAAGATGTTGATTATCATAAAAGGTATCTGAATGCCTTTTTGATTAAGTCAGCAAACACCTTGTTTTTGACAGTCCTTGCAACACATTTTTTGGTTCCATTAGATCGTTCTTCCTTGGTCACTATATCAAACTTTTCTGAGAGTTCGTATAGATAACTACAATATAGACCAGTGGTTCTCAAATGGGGGTACGCGGACCCCTAGGGGTACGTTGGAGTACTGCAGGGGGTACGTGAGATGTATTTTATGTTAATGAAGAGAAAAAAATAAATAAATAGATAAATATACCAATTTTAGGAAAAGTAACGAAGTTTGATCAGTGTGGGTTTTATATTAATAGACTAGAGTTACACATATTTCAAAACACGAAGTGTAATAACTGCAGTTGCCTCCCTGTCAGAATGACAAAGATCCTCAGTGAAGCACAAGCCCATGTTTCTCACTAAATTGTAAGTACAACTTATTAAAAAGATCAGTTCAATGCAACTAATGTCGTCTTAGTGTTATTGCATGATGTTAAAATTGGTTTGCCATGAATTTAGTGATGGATTGTAAACATTTGAAATGTAGCATTTAATTGTTTCTCAGTTACAATGTTGTTGTTTTAATAAATCAGACACTGATGGTGAGCGCTGTACCTCTTTATATAGGCTTTTTTCCCCTAACAAATACTTTTTGCGCTGATCAGGGGGTACTTGGCTGAATTTTTTTTTCAAAGGGGGTACATTATTGAAAAAGGTTTGAGAATCACTGATATAGACTACAAACAAGCTCTAGAAACATCATTTACAGAACAATACATATGACTTATTTCCAGGTTTTCAAATGTCTGCTGGTTTCTAACTTTTCACTTTGTCTACCAATCTTCTTCTTTTTTTTTTTACGGTTATGGTTTCCTCGCAAGGCACTTGTCATTGCAAGTGAAACACTTTCTTAAACAGTCCTTTACATTTGAAATCCAGCAACCGTTGCTCCCCCCTCCTCTTTCTCGGTCCCACCTTGTTCTTCTCTCCTTTAGGCACACTAATGAGAGGAAGAAGGGACTAAAAGGAAGACAGATATAAATCAGAGAACCACACTAGGACAAGACTAAACAAGCCTCTTTCAGGTCGTCTCTCACTGTCTGACAGTGACCCCTTCCCACTGGGAGGCCCGGCAGATTTATGATGGCAAGTAAGAGAAAGACAAAGAGAAAGAGAAAGAGAGCCTTTTCCTTCCCTTTCCTTTCCTGTGCCCAGGCAGAGCCCATATCCATCCACCTTGTCACATGTGTAGCTGTGGGACACATACAGTTCATATAGGGTCTTCAACCAGAATGCAAAGCGTAGGAAATTAGCCCATTACATGCAAGCACATGCATGCACACACTCATCAATGCATGCACGTGTGATGACTGACGCTGGCCTTATAGGCAAGCCACGGAGATCATGTTCAGGTTCACACTCATTCCTGGCCCCAAGGCAGACCCTCTCAGAGCCAGAGACAGAGCAAAGAGAGATATTTGATTCAGCAAAGAGGTAGAGATAACAATTATATTCTAAATATACCTTTATAATTATTTAAATATAAGTTTATAATTATATTTAAATATGCATGGTGCGAAGACAATGCACCAGCAGGAACCTCTCCTCTATTAAACTACCAGACTTCAGAAACCTTTCCTTAAACTTCACCTTTATAATTATTTTAATAAGATAATCTTACAGAGTGTAAGAAAGTCTGAGTCGGTAGCCTAGGCTTAAACTGGATCCCAGGGATTTTCTGCCAAGTTTCCCCCAGGAAACATCAGGTCTGTCTTGAGTACAGTGAAGTCCTTCCATCAACTAAGTTCATCATACATTGATTTGTGTATGTTGCTCAGGTTAGAACATTTACATTTAAAATCACTCTGCTTCAAACATGACATTTAAATGCTATAAAAAAAACGGAGCAGAAAATGTAGAGATGCTAGAAAACACTAAATATTATATTTTAATAATATACAATAATATAATATGATATAAAAATAATAAGGCTTATTCATTATTAAATAGAGAGAGCAAACCATGCTGTGACTGACCTCCTTGTGGATAGAATGGAGGTTGGGTGAGAAGAAAGTCTAACTTGTCCTTGATATCGTCTTCATTCTCCTTCTCCCACTGGGCGCCTACCTGCTTCCATAAATCAGCAGCTAGACAGCTGCAGGAGAGAAGTGGAAACACAGATCATTGTCCCGACCATCTGCCAGTGTAACAAATTGTATTTGAGATATACTGTAGATAGTAGATATTTATTGGATGTTTCCATTTAACTTTTAAATCCTCTGTAAAATATTTATCAAATAATTGTCTACAAACCAGAAGAAACTGCAGTATATAAACAGATGGTGTTTCCTTTTATAATGATCAAGGATAAGAACAATGTCCATTTTTACCTTATTTCTGGGATCTCATCACTAATACAGGTCAGCAAGAGTGGGACGAGTTTGTGGAAATAAGAGTATCTGTCTTTCATTTGAAGTAGCCAATCACCAACGACCACAGTCACAGCTCTTCTCACCTGGAACAAAATAGAAAAATCAGATGTGAGCAACTTAATAAACAGTACATTAATTGGCACACAGTGGGTCTTCTAGCATTGCATAGTTGCTTTAAACAAACCTGTGGCGAGTCATCAAACAGTCTCTGAGCCAGGTGAGAGAGCACGTCATCCACGTTTTTCCCGTTGCTGTGCTGAATGACAGCCCCGGTGGCTTCGACGACTGAGACTCGTACCCGTGAGTGTTGATGAGCAATCGTCTGCATGAGAGGCTTCATGAGGCTCTCAGCCTGCATGTGAAAGTGCTCTGAAGAAAAGGAGATAAAATGAATTTCAGTCCATTAAATGTTTGCGGTTGAGATGGGTAATGCATTGATATATTATCAACATTAAGGTGTGAGACTGAATATATCCTGGAATTATGTTTTCAAAAAATAAATAATGATAACTTGGCATTTAAATAAGGGCCCTTCGGCTTGGAAACTTCCTGCCAGAGAATATTAGGCAGGCTAAATGAATAAAAAGTTACTTGGATTAAGGTACTACTTTTCAACAAAAAGTCCCACTGGTAAAATATTCACATAACATAAAATGTTGACTTGAATCCAATGAAAAGGGTAGTGATCTACTCGTCCAGTGTTGTAATACAATGCTGCACTGTAGGTCTTGTTGTATGTCTATATATTTATGTTGCATTGTTGAAGGAGCCTGGGACTTCATCTTTCATTGCCATAACTACACCTACTGTGCATATGACAACAACACCTTTGAATCTTTGAAATAAAAAACAGTAGCATTTTCATTAAAAGTATTCATACAACAGAAGAAGCACTACATTAAAAATAAAAATAGTTTGTTTTATTTGATCTGAGAAGTTATAATAATTAGTTAAGATTTGGACGTTGAATCAAAAACAATATGGACCCGCGTGCGCATACGCGGAAGACCATTTAGATTGAAGGTCTCGTATGTGAGCGTCCTATGGCTGCCTACAGTCTGTAAAATGACATTAGAGGCAAAGACTGTGGTAAGAAAACGCCGCTGGATCTGGACTTAAAGTTTGTCAAATATTCAACATACACTAACCTCACTGCGGTAAGAAAACGAGTGTTTCTGTCGTACTCAACACACGTGTCCGTGCTTCGGAACCATGGCAACTACATACTTTTTCGACAACAAAAAAAGTTTTACCAACCTGGCAGAGACTTTGCCACGTTTATGGTGCATTTGCAACTTTCTCTCCTGACATCTGGGAACGGGTCGACGATGGTTCTCTGCAGTATGTTGATCATGTCTGTGAGATATGGGGCTAAATGCTTCCCGCACACCTCCACCGTCAGAGTCAACATCTCCACGGCCAACAGCCGGAGTTCTTCCGCCGGCTCCAGGGTCTCCTTCTCCCCGAGCCTCTGAGCCAGACAGGGCATTAGATAAGGCAGCGACTCCTCCGGTTTAGGGACACAACGAATAAACTCTGTTGTCATTGTTAGTGCGGTTTCTCTGCATCTTTCCATCGGGTCTGACAGGCATTTAAGGAGAGGCTTGAGTAGGGCAGAGAAAAGCTCCTGTAACACGCTGCTGGAAAGTCCTTTATCTACTGTCTCCCTCTTTATCAGCTCCAGAGCCCTCTTCCTTGTCGACTTATTGTCTTCGTTTAGACAATTTAAATGTCTGGCGAGTCCTCTCAATATTTCAGAGGAAGCATGCTCATCTCCAGCCGCCATCGCTGCCATCTTGACTGTTGTCGTTATGGCAACCTGCAGCTGCACGACAAAACAAACGGCTGCTTTACGACAGCTTCCGATTCAAAAGCTCAAACTTTATTTGCACTCAAAACCTTTCCTGTTGCTACTGCTCTCTAGTCCTTTGAATCTAAATGTCGGATAAATCTATGTTTTAAAATGTTTTCAGGAGAGACAATGATGTAAATTGAAGTTTATATTTTAGAGGTCCACAATCTGTGCTTCGATTTTGGCATAGCCCAATTTCAGGAAAATCTGTGGTTTAATAACTTTGAATTATTGATGTATTTTGTGTTGCCTTGCTGGTCTGCTGGTCAATAATACACAGGATCTACACTCATGTTAACTGGGTTAATTATGTTTGCCAAATTCCCTATCCATCAATATAAATGTATGTAAAAAACTAAGATTTTCTCTAAAACAATAAAACACACGAACTCGTAAACTAATGTACAGTTTATATTTTCTTTATAATGTGTTACGTGTGTACATGTTATAGGAGTAGGCCTACTTCAATTAAATTAAATGCCTGGACAAAGTTGGCGTCACAAAACTTTACAGATGTGTGGTTGAGATAATGAAGGCTGAGTTTCTAAATCGTGTGTGGTCCAAATAAGGGCATTGGTATAGGTATTAGGAAGTATTTGTACATAATGCAAGAACAGCGAAGAAATACATAGACATAGAGCTTAAGCTACAGGGGAATAAATTATTATAACAATCATAAACATACTATTATTGACATACTGTAGGCCTACATAATGTCACAAGAGAGGATGGGGTGTGTGTAGCTGGTAATTTTCAGAGTCTCTAAATTGCGTAGTCTGTTTTTACATTTATGGATCAGTTTGTTTCATAATCATGTTACAGAATTGCACCCTCGTAATTTTTTTAGGGTGGATGTAGCCTTTAAAGATCTTTTACCTGCAAAAGGGTTGGCGCGTGCTCGCTGCCGCTGGCCTCGTGAGAGCGCCGCTGCGGTCGAGAGGCTGACAGATTGACGTCATCGGGACTGACGCAGAGCGAGCAGAGAAGCAGAGCGCAGCAGCATCCCTGCTTACCAGCGGCACCTCACCAATCTCCAGCAGCGAGGTGTTTTCTCACTGAGCATCCTACAGATATAACGGTAGGGACACCAGCGAGGGCTCCGAATAGGCGGTGTTTTTATAAACACCTAATAGCGGTTAAGAACAGGCCCCTCATGGCGTTTACGCCGCAGTATTTCCCCTTTGTTGTGGTTTGGTTGTCATTGTAAGGTTAGCAAAGCTAGCTGGGCTAGCCGTCTATTGAATGCATCTGAACAGGTGCTTATCATCACAAGCTCAACCGTGTGCATGGCAAATGTGTTATTTGTGGCCACTGTTTTGCCATTTGCTTTGAACAACATGTGACAACTGCCATGACCTGAACTCATACCTGCTTTAGATTTATTATGCATAGAAAAACATCGCAGATGTGATTTCCATTTGAGGAAGTGATACAAGGTAGCTACACCTGCTCAGCTTCCTGGCTTGCTGCTACGTTATTTGACATTACTGTCTGACATAATCATTGCTGTTGTGAGTTGTCATACACTATTTTATATTTAGCTCTGAATCCACCTAGAAAATTGTTACTTGCATAAATAAGATCGTACCTTAAAGCACACGTTTCCAAAACGTTCATGTTCATTCAACTTCATCGATAAAGAATCATTCAAAGGGCATTAATGATCATGCAGTAGTCATACATTAATTGTGCATGACCTGTGTATACTCAAATTAGGGTTTGTCAACAAGGATGACATTGTCTATTCCTGGGTAGGCTATGTACTTTAATCATGTTATTTATATCTAAAAATCACAATATTACTATTAACTAAAGATATACTTGTTGAGATATTTAAAGATAAAATAACTAGACAGCAGGATATTTTATTGGCTGTAAAAAAAAAACACAAATCAAGGTACTTTATTACATTGATGCAAATAATATTATCACGCAATAATCATAAAGCATCCATGCTCATTTATTTGCAGCATTTCCTACAATAATCGAATACACCTATAAATAAAAAGTTAGCTACCTCTTAGTCGACAGTTGACCAATTTATATTGTCTCAAGGTGTATATCGTCATATTGTCCAACCCTACAGCTTAAGTAGTAACTTTTTATTGGTATTTACAAAATGAAAGATCTTTCTGAACTACCAAAGGTAACATCCATCTGCAACAACTACCTTCATCAAACACTTCCATGTGTGAAATGTCCATGTACATCCTTCCCATGTTCCATTGCTCCTCCATTCTCTATCCTATGTTCCTCTTATCACACTGTATGCGCTGCATTTTGCCCTTCATTTTGCCCCTTTACTACCCCTTCTCTATTCTGCCTTCCCTCCCCCTCCTCTCATGGTCCACCCTGTTTTCTCCCTCATCCACAGAGATAAAAGATAAGATGGCCACCTCCTCCTCCACTCTGGAAGAAGACGAGAGTTTGAAGGGCTGTGAAATTTTTGTGCAGAAGCACAACATCCAGCAGATCCTCAAAGAGTGCATTGTGAACCTCTGCATTGCAAAGCCTGAGCGTCCTATGAAGTTCCTGCGGGAACATTTTGAAAAGCTGGAGAAGGTTGGTGATAACAAAGTTTTGTATAATTTAGGTTTCTCTTGAAGTTATTATGTGTAGTTTAACCTTTAATATTACATATATATGACATACATGTTGATTGCAGTGTGTGCCAGATTCCAAGTAGTGATTCCTAGTCTGAATTTCTCTGATATTAATGTACAAAAAAGCCTATATAAATGACATTTTCCATATATTTTATGATAAAATAAGATAAGATGGGCCTTTGTTAATCCCTGTGGGGAAATCCAGGAATAAATAAGTGGTTATTATTACAGGCTTGGTTACAATGAAGTAAGCTGTTTTAATATTATGGACAATTTCATATATAAAAAAACACACATTTCAAGTGTGTTGGTATTTCATATTCACCTGGCACATATACAAACTGGTTTTATTTCTTTGTGACGTTTCCTCACCTTGTTTAAATTAATAACATTATCACATACTTGTATTCAAACTGTTATAATAGAGATTTCATTTTTCATCCTACAAGGGGAGAATTCATTTAGAGGTTTGAGAACCAGACTGTTTGTCTGTGTGTCTGTCCGTCACTACAGAGAGTAGAGAAGGCTTTTTTTTAATGAATATGCAAAAATAAAAAAGATCATAGAAATGGGGTTAACACTGGCAACCTTTCTCTCTTTGGCAGACCATGTGAATGCTCTGTGTGTTCTATGTCCGTCTCATAAGCATATGAGTTGGTAGTGTACTGTGTGGCATATCTACAGAGGCAACGTTATTTTGCATTGAAGTTGCTTCACTGACTTCTGCTGTTGTTAATATTTTGCCCAATATGCTTTTCACTATAATGGTGGCCCACATTTTAGGCCTGATGGATGTTCCTTCCAAACATTTGGCTTTGATCAAGTGGAGTCAGATGGGTATTTTGCTCATGAGTTGATCATTTGATATCTTCGTTTCAACAATGGGTTCTTCTCTTTAACTGTTGAACATGGGTCATGAAGGTGTATGAGACGGAGCTGTGGGCTGTGAATATTGGCCTGAGGAGAGTTAAGTCCTTGGAAATAAGTTTTCAACAAGAGAAGTGATTGTGAGGCGCCATCAGATATAGCAGTGCTTAAGTTCACCATGCTGATGCCTGGAGGAGGGTCTCTATCGTTGCTTGCTTTGAAGTGTGTGCGTTGATGATCATGTGGGAGTCATCTGATTTGATATTTTTCTGACATGAGAAGGACTATTTTGGTTTTTATGGGTTGTGTTCATCTAGGTTTTCAGGGCATCAGGACACAAAGTACAAGGTCAAGGCCAGAATGTTCCAGTTCCAGTCCCAGTTATGTGTTTGCATCTGTCCACTACATCTGGAGCTACTGTCCTCACAGAGCTGAGTGTGAGCACAACATTGATAGTAGAGCTTCTGCTGCATAGACAGACAGGCAGCATGAATACCAATGGTTAGAATAATAGTAGCAAATGGTATAAAATGACTTGAGGCACATCTGCACTGCATACTGTAATAATTATGGCTCAATAGCAAATGAGCATCAAAGTTTTTGTGTTGTGATAAAAAAAACTATGTTTTAAAGTAGTGAAAAAGTATATGTATTACATTTAATATCTATTTATTGGATGTTATATCAAATCTATTGACAAAAATAGCATATAAAAAATTCTGTCACATACTATTTCGATTCTATTCAATTATAATTATAAGAAAATATCAACACCAAAAGTTAACATTCAAATTAGCTCACAAAAGGCAACTAACATTTGGTTTGACAACTTCATTAATGGGCTCTTTCAGACATTTAAATGAAAAACAATCCATTATTTTTATATAAAATGAATGAAAATAGAACTCCTGTAATTGACTATAAATTGCCACATGCAATGGGAATTTCAAAAATGAAGGCATATCTCAAAGACAATGATATGTATCAACGTTTTAACTTTGCACCAATGATATTGCATGGTTGATCATTGAATAAATGCATCATAACTACACTGTATGTTGTGTACAAATGACAATAAAAGCCTTGAATCTTGAATCTTGAATATCATATTAATGGATCATTACAACCCTAATAGCTAACGAAGAAATAAGCTAGTCTACATGGGTCTTTAGCTTCCTGAAAGTGGGCTCTGCTACAGTCTTTACGTGTGACTGGTGAAGGATTAATACAGTGGCGTAACAAGGTTGTGATTGGCCCCGGTGCAAATATTGTTTTTGGGCCCCCCCATCGCCCCAAACATATGCGCACACTGATGCGCTCACACCAGAGTTCCCGTTAGAATATTTTTTTGCCAGTCAACATGTCCGTTAAAGTTTAAATCTTCCGGACAAAATGAGAAAAGTGCCGGTCAAAGGTCTTCTTTGTTATTTATTGAGCTTTTAAACAAATTGATATGATTCGATATTAAACAAACTAATTCTAGTAGATTAACTACATTATTCAAAAGTGTACAGTAATTTATAACACGGGAATAATAAACGGAGCACTCTCTCCCTCTCCTGACAGCCCGTCAGTATCATGCAGCTCGCGGATCCAGTAATTAGTGACCCGACAGTAAAACTAAACATATCTATAACTAGTTTAGGTAGTTTGAGAGGTAATTAAAATAGCTACGTGATATTCTAACCTGAAGTGTGTGGTTTGTTCCGCTCAGCTGCAGATGATCATGCAGAGCTGCGTGTCAACTCGTCAGCAGCAGCTGATCTCTTGCTCCCGTCAGATTAGACTTCACTCGCGTTTATGTCCATATCGATCAGATCTAGCTAGTTCTAGCTAATGATATGACTACATGCTTATTAAAAGACACCTAAACAATAAGCGTCGCTATGCAACCGGGTGAGGCCACAAAGTATAGCGCAGCATTATGCATTTGTTTACATGCCCACCGGAACCCCGAGGCATTACCAACAGATCAACGCACAATCAACCCATACAGGACACTCTTTCTCCACATTAAATGTTAGTCATTAGAATTGACTATTCTTGTCTGTCACATACTATTCTTGTCTGTCACATAAATGGCGCAACTGATGCCGTATTGTGCTAAAGGGAAATTATTTTGACCGGACATTTTGACCGGAGAGATTTAGATTTGCCGGTCTTCAGCATATTTTACCGGTCATAGTCCGGTAATTACCGGCTAACGGGAACTCTGGCTCACACACGCACGGACATACACAACCACTCTGAAGCGCCACATGTATAGGCTATCAACAACAGCCTGCCCTGGCCTCAGACCACCACAGCCTGACAACGACACAGCGAACTAAGAAGAGGATTAAACCTGTTTCCTTGATGTTTGTCTCTGGGGAATGGGCCGGTAGGCCTACATAGACCGGTTGCTATAATATAGCTTTTGATCTTGGCGTTGGGGGTCTCAATAGCGCCATAGAGTCCCCTATCGGTTGGGGCCCTTGGGGGAACTGTTGGACCACCGCCGGGCACAGCCAAATCCATCCTCTCCTCCTGGCTGGCTGGAGAAGAAAGTTGCACAGCCACGGCCACGGATACAGCTTCACTTGTGGAGCTAGATGATGGTGGTGAGGCAGGTGAGCTATCGTTAGCCTCCGGCTCCGGCTGCCGCTGCACGTCAACATTGCTAACATTAGCGCTCGATTTCGAGGACGATGTATGACAAAAATGTCACATGATCACATGACATGAAAGGTCAGGAAAAGGTCATTGGACAGTCAAATTACAAATTAATTTAGGTTGCTTGGTTACTTTGAAGACTGCGTGAACCGGTCAATGCCATAAAAAAAATATATTAAAAAAATATTATTATTATTTTTTATTTATTTTTGTTGCATGGGCCCCTGGCCGGCTCTGGGCCCCGATGCGTTGCACCGGCTGCACCGTCAATAGTTACGCCACTGGATTAATACATTTGATTGGTGGAATACAGCATCTCACTCTCTGCATCACATACCCATCACACCTTGTGCAATAAGTTAATGTATGTTAAGCTGCTGAGCTCTGCTCCATCCTGCTGCCTGAGCTGCTGCAGCTTTACTTTTCACTACACTATCCTCACTGACGCTGCTGACACTTAGCTTTGTTTTCATTCCTCTATCTACCCCTGTGCTGCTTAAGTGTACGATACAGCAGATATCCATCCCCACACTGTCACTTAAAACACAATAGTCTAACTGCTTACATGCTGGTTATCTAACAGCAGCATATAATGTCTCTGTGTAGATGACAGTCAAAAAATATATATTTTGATTATTAGATTTTTGCTCCAAGATCATATGGATAACACCATACCCTGGTGCAGTGTTTTTGATTAATTAAGCGGCACATTACTTTTTTACTTTAAAAACGGACATTTCATGCACACTGTCATCTTGTGACATTATGACAATATGGTGTATATTCCAATCACTTGTATATAGACTCTATATAGACTCTTATTGCACTATTTCACAATTTTACTATTTCTCTTTTTGTATTTACTTGCACTATGTTTTCTGTTTTTCTGTTTTATTGTGTTTCACTGTTGGTGGAGCCTGTGACCTAATATTTTCATCGTCATAACTACACTGTAGCTATGTAGGTAATAAAAGCCTTGAACCTTAAATTGGTGTTTGTGTCCTTGCCTGTAGGGGAAATGTCAGGGTCAATGAAGTATCATTTAAAGAATTAAGAAACTACTGTATTTCTAACGGAGCAGGGCTTGAACCGTTCAGTTGTTAAATGGTGGTCAGTGGTCCAATCACCTTGTGTATGCAAGTGGTTAAAATAAAAGAACCTGCAGGTTTTCACCCTTCTTGAATCCAAAATTGAAGTCTTCCCAATCTCTGCTTGTGTTGTGGGGTACTTGTTGAATTGGGCCAGGCCATGTACATTTTTGTGGTGTCCCATGTTATTTAGAAGGCTTATTGTGCTCCTTTCCCAATGCTAAGGGTAACTTTGAAGAGAGATTTGGATCATGTCTATTTCATCTGGATTTGTTTTCAATCTTGTTTTGGTATTATGCTTCATCACTGAATCAAGGTCAAGTCAGGTCTGATTTCTGGCAGCCTGTAA